AGAAGATAAAATACCAGTAACCTGTCATTTCTCATTTCTTATCATCTCTCTAGCCCTGCCTTGGCTCACCCTGCCTGTGCGCCCCTGTTGAAAGGCCCCAGGGGACATCTGGTTCCGCCTCCTCACACACAGGCGCCCAGGGCTCGGGAGCGGAAGGGACCTGCCCACGTTCAAGGTGTGTTGTGCCCGGTCTCCTGGCACCGCACCACGGCCTTACAGGTCCCTGAACTGGGCCTTCTCCTTATCCCCCACATCCACTCTCCACCGGGTCTCCCCTCTGGAAACGAGAAAGGGCGCGAGTTAACGCAGGCGGTGTGTGCAGGGGTGCCCCGTCCCTCCTGGCCACAGGGGTCCTGGCTCCGGGCCTCACGCACGTGTGGCTTCCAGCGCCACGCCGCCTCTGTGGGCCGTGTCACCGCCTAACTCAGGAAGACCGCGCTGCTCGCCTCCCAGAGCTCGGGATCGCAGCTCTCTGCATTCTGGACTTTCCGGCACAAAGCGCTTCCTCCAGAAACACAAGCATCTCCCCAGCACCGCCGCCCATGGCTCAGGGTCTCCCCTGAATCCGTTCTTCTCTCCATGGTGTCGATGCCTAAGGAGAGTGGAAGGTTACCCCTCCTGGGGATCTTAACAGGGATCCATCTTAGAAAGTGGGGTGCCAGAGCTGGAAGTTCTGACCACCGCTGAGGACGAGAAAGTATTTGAGGGTGGGGTGCTGGGAAGGGGACCGAAGTCTGGGCGAAGGGAGGCCATTGGACCTTTCCCGGTGGCCTCGCCCTGGCAGCAGGCAAGAGCAGTCCGGTGTTGGAGGGGCCGAGGCTGTCTGGGGTTGGGGGCGGCCGGGTGTCATTTTCCAGCTGAAAAGACCGATGACTCATAAGAAGGCAGAAGTCAGGAAGGAGGCTGCTAACAGCACACATGACCCTGGGAAGTATTTTTTTTATTTTTATATTTTAGATTTTATTTCTTTTTACAGGGAGGGAAAGTGAGGGAGAAAGAGAGGGAGAGAAGCGTTGGTGTGTGGTTGCCTCTTGCATGCCCTCCCACTGGGGACCTGACCCGCCAACCAGGCACGTGCCCTGGGACCCTTTGGTTCGCAGGCCGGCACTCAAGCCACTGAACCACACCAGCCAGGGCTGAAAAGTATTTTCATGGATTATCAGGGTGGATGGAAGCGCCTGTGAACCTGTTCTCTGGGAAGGTGCACTGGCAGGGCCGTCTGCGCCTGCCCTGCCCTGGGGAATTGGCAGCCTTTTCTTCTTGGGGTCCACGGAGAAAAGGCAAACAGTTGGAGTCTAAGTACAGACACGCAGAACATGAGGCCAGGAGGGACCTCGGCCGCCATCCAGCCCCACCTGGCACACGCGGACAGTCAGCTGAGGCCGGGAGAGGAGCAGGTTGGCCGCCAGAGGCTCCCAGCTGAGCTGGCACCTTCTCTAACAAGTCCCGGGGTCTGTCAGCCACTGAAAAAGTTGGAGAAGAATTCTCCGGGAGCGTTGGCCCTTAACACCGACCGGTCCTTTGAAGGAGGTCAGCCCCGAACCGTCGCAGATGAAAACATGAGCCCTCAAGGCCGCTGTCCCCATTATACCCTCCACGAGACTGGAGTTTAGGCATGCTTGGGCAGAATGCCAAAACTGAAGCAACTCGCCTATTAAGCAATTGCCTTGAGGTTGATTTTTCCTTTTGTGAAACTTTGTTTTATTATTGGCCTAGTGTTGTTTGCAAAATACACCTCAGGGACAGAAGTGCGTGAGCTGAGAACTTCTGTGATTCCCTCATCCCAGCGCTGCTCCCCGTATTGGTTTTCCGTCGCTGCCATCAGAAACCGACCAAGGAAGAAATGACGTAAATGTATTCCCTCACAGCTCCATGAGGCGCAGGACCCACTGGGGCCTCACGGGGCGGAAGATCAGGGTGCAGGCAGGGCCGGCTCCTTCTGGGGGCTCCCCGGGAGAATGTGGTTCCTTGCCTTCTCCAGCTTCTAGAAGCTGTCTGCATTCCTTGAGTTGTGGCCCCGTCTTCAATCTTGGAGGCCAGCAACACTGCATCCTGTGCCTTTCTGACTACAACCAGGAAAACCACGTCCAAGGTTAAGAATTTAGGTGGTGAGATTGGGCCCAGGTGGATAATCCAGGATAACTTCTTCATCTCCAAGTCCGTGCCCGTGATCCCTTCTGCAGAATCCGTTTTGCCGTGCAAGGTGTGTACACTCACAAGTCCCAGCGAGGAGCGTGCAGACCCCGGGGGCCCTTGGTCTGCTGACACACTGGTGTCTTTCTCAGCGGTCTTTCAAAGTGCCCTGCACTGCGTTGCAGAAAAGCACTTTTGCACTGTCATGGGAAACACGGCAAAACCAGAATTTTTTTCCAAGAATTTTCATTTTACTTTTATTTATATTCTGAACATTGATCTATAGAAAAGTGCATAAATTCCAGTTACGGCTGGATTTCTATAAAGTGACCACAGCTGTGTAATCAACACCCAGATCAAGAAACAGGACATGGCTGGTGACCCCAGAAGCCGCTCATCCCTGTCCGAGTCCGAAACACAACCCCACACCGGCCGCCATGGAAACATTCCGTCTGTGGACGACTACCTGGAGCGTTACTGAGATAAAGAGGCTGTTCGCTGATTCAAGTGATGTTCACTGACCCACTCAGCGCATATTTGCCGGCACTTGCCCTGGGCTGGATGCCATGACATACGGGTTGAGCTCATTCGATGCCGGTTCTTGGCACAGAACCTATGGAGGTGACCGCGGGAGTGGGGGACGTGCGGAGAGGGAGTTTGGGCAGCAGATAAGAACACAAACACGCTGGCGGAGCCTAACCAGGAGACTTCCCAGGGAAAGCAGGCCTGGAAGTGACTAGAGAAGTGGAGACACAGGGTGTCAAGCAAAGGGGACAGATGAGCAAAGGCATGGAAGTGGGAACAGGCCAGGTTTGTGAGTTTCGGGACTTCACGAGTGAGTGGGACGCGGCCACGGGGCACGTCAGCCTCTAAGCGCTGGCCCAGCCCTTTCCCGTTGCCCCCGGCTCCAATCTCAGCTGCCCAGACCGGGAACTGGGGGTCTTCGCCCTCAGGCCAGGGTCCTCATTGTACAGAAGGGGACACAAGCCTGGAGGAGATACACCCACAGCCAATCATTTACTGATGCCCCCCTCGCACCGTACTTCCTACGGGTCCTCCAGCCCCCAGCCCTGAGCCTGGTGCCCGGGACACCGAGGTGAGGCCTGAAGCAGGATCCAGACCACCCACTTCCTGCTCCAGGGCTGTTCGCGACCCCCAGAGTCCCCTGCCTCCCCATGGCCCCTTTGAGAAGACCTCCTTGCTTGCGAGTATGCAGTGGGCATCCACCATGTGCCAGGCAACCTTCTGGGCACTGGGACCAGTCCTACCGAAGGCAGACCCCTTCCTTCCTCTGGGGGGTGGGAGTCAGGCAGCAAACGAACACCACGCTGCCCAGTCTCCCGATGGCAGAGGAGGTCAGCGCTGGGCTGTGAAGAAAGGTAAGGCGGGCTAAGGGGCCAGAGTGGGGGGACGGGGGCGTTTTAGGGAAGGTGGTCAGGGAAGGCTCTTTGAGGAAGTGACACAGGGATTCCCCTCCCCCCCAAAAAAGACAAGGGGGGAGCGAGTTTGACAAGGGAGGGAAGAAGGGCCGGGGCAGGGCGGGGCGGGGGCAGGGAGGACCTTCCCTGATGGGCCTGAGGCATGGAAGCTGGGGCGAGGCAGGGGGCTGCCTTTGGAGGTCTAGCTAGCTGGGACCCCCCTCTCGGTCTCGCCGCGTCCTGGGACAGGGGCCACCAAGGCTGAGGTGTGGCGGAAGGTTCTGGTTGCTTCACCCAGCTCAGCAGACGCCTGCGCCTGGACGGATGCCCCGCTGGACCTTGGCCTTCATCAGAATCCCGCGTCCAGCCTACCTCCCCTCCCCCCCAAACCTAGTCAACAACCGAGGGCACACCCCACTGCACAGCCCGATGCGACAGGCTCAGCGCCCTTCAAAACCCCTGCACTACGCGCCAGGCGAAGGAGTCCGTGGGGGTGGGAAGGGCTTGCCCATCGTGCCCCCCATGAGACCTCTTTACGGCCGAGCGGGCGACCTATTTCTGGGTTCCTCGGAGGAAGTTCTCAGCGGAACTAGGCTTTGCGATTTGATGGAGAGAGGGAGGGTGACTACGAGCAGGGCAGGTGACCAGTCCACCTCCGAGCGGTGCAGGGAGGTAGGAGGTCTGGACGGTGCCATGGCAGGGGCTAACCTGCAGGCGGGGTTCGGGAGCGGAGGTCGGTCTCAGGACGGGCCGGGGGCTAGGGCCTGCAGTAGGTGACCGCAAGGGTGGAGGGTGCACAGAGCGGCAGGACACTAAGGGCTCGGGGAGGGGGGGTCGTGAGGGCGGGATCACGAGTCATTTGAGGAGAGTGTTTGGCGTCGAGGTCAGCGGAGGCGGGGCCAGAGCGGACCAGGGATAGGGGGTGGGCAAGGGAGGGGCCAGGGCCGACTCGGCCCCGGAAGCGGGCCCGAAGCGAGCCCAGAAGCGAGCCCTCACTATCCGGGGCGGGGACGGGGCCTGGAGAAGAGGGGAAGGGGCAGGGAAGCCCGCCGGGAGTCAGGAAGTGGCGGTGTGGGGCGGGGCCTAGGGCCTTGGGGCGGGGCCTGGAGGGCCGTGCGGGGCGGGGCCTAGAGGGCGGAGCCGGGCGGGGCGGGGCGGAGCGGGGCAGCCTGCGGCCGGGAGGTGCGCGGGCGGAGGCAGCGCGGAGGTGCACTGGAATCGCCGGACTCGGCGGGTGGCGGCGGCGGCGGCGGCGCGCACAAAGGCGGATTGTGGCTTCACTGGTGCTCGCGGCGGGCGGCGCCGGGGCGGGGGCGGCGGGGCACGCCGGGGACCCCGGCGGGAGCGGCGCAGGCGATGAACCGGGGCCCGGCATGGCCTCTGCGCGGCCGCCGGGCCGGGCCTGCGCCTCGGCGCCCGCGCCCGCGGGGCTCCGGGCCGGGCCGCCCGCCCTCCCCGCCGCCACCGCCTCCTCCCCCGAGCCTGCGGGCGGCGCCGAGGCCGAGGAGCGCTCGCTGCAGCACATGCTGCGCGCCATAGCCGAGGAGCGCGGCCGCGTCAGCCTGCGCCGCGAGGTCTGCGGCCTCGGTGAGTGGGGCCGGCAGGGGCGGCGGGGCCGGAGCGGCGCCGGGGTGTGCGCGCCTCCGGGTGTCTCTGCGCCAGTCTCTGTCACTTCGTGTATCTCTGTCTTTGCGTGTGTCTGTCTCTGCGCGTGTCTCCGGTGCTCCTTGCGTGTCGCGTTCTCCTCCATGTGCCCCCAGGTTCCTGCGTCTCGGTCTTTCTTGTGCCCCCATGTTCAGGTCCCTGTGTTTCTGTTTCCTCTGTCACTTCGTGTCTCCCTCTGTTCATCTTCCTCTTTCCTTTCCGTGGCTCTGCCAGGCCCCTTCTCCAGCAAGTCTGCTCCGAAGATTCGGGGCCTCAGTGCCGGGGCAGAGAGTGCGGGTGCTGAATTTGGGGACACCCTCCGCTCATCATTGCAGAACCAGGCTCCCACTGGCTCTGGGTAGACCTCCCTGCGCGCGCGCCCTGGTCACTGTCCCCAGCAGACAGGGAGGGCTTCCTGAAGCCTTTGTCTTCCTTCACCTGTCTGCACCTGCCCGTTCTGTTTGACCCTTAGCTCCAACTGGGGGGACCTGTTGGGCTTGGTCCCCTGAACCCAGACGCTGGGCGGAGGGAGCAGGGCCTGCAGCCCTGCTGGGTGTCACTCTGCTCTTGGGAGGCCCTAAGTCGTAGATGTGCCAGCGGCTGGGGTGGGGTGGGGGGTCTCGTGTTGTTGGAAAGACCTTGGGACTGCAGGTGTGGGTGGGGTCTCCCAGCTGGGCTGGGTGTGGGGTAATCGCTGCTGCTGGGTTGTGCCCAGGCCTGATCCAGGGAAGCCCCCTCCCCTGCTGGGCTGGGCTTGCCCTTTTCTCCACGAAAAGACCCCTCCCTTTTTCATGCGGGAATGACTTCATAGCACGCTGTCTGCCGCCCCCACCCCACTCTCGTCCCGAGGCTGGGCTGGAGATTTCTGAGAAGGCGACAGCATTGTGGAGGAGGGAATATCAGCTTTGAAGAGTCTACCAGTTCCCCCTTCCTTCACCACTGGGGAAACTGAGTCCCAAACAGCCAGTGCATCCCTCGTAAAGTCCTGAGGCAGCAGGGACAGGGCAGCCCAGGAGATCCAGGCCCCTCAGCTGGCCACACCCTGGAGGATGGCGAGGAAACAAATTCCAGTCCTTTGTAGAGGAGGCAGGCTTTAATGGGGGGTGGGAGGAGGCACTTGCCCTCAGGGAGCAGGTCCCGGCAGGGCCCTCCCAGAGAGTGAAGCTTTCCTGTTGTGCCTGGTGGGGGGTGGGGGTGCTGGTGCCCACACAGTGGGGACAGACGAGGACCTGGGTTTCTCTGGTTTCTTTTCTGAAAAGTGTCACCACTTAGTTTTGAGCAGAAATGGAAGGAGCTGCATTAATTCATTCAGCAGATACTCCCTGAGCTGAGCACCTACTGTGTGCCAGGCTGCATGCCAGCCCGGCAGGCCCGCCTGTCACCTGGCACAGAGTGCCTGACGTGGGAGGGGTCTGAGGGACCCTCTGCTCCAGGCTGCCAGCCCTTCGCTCAGCAGCTCTGGGCAGCCCCTCCCCACACCCCAGCGACACGCTCCCCGACCTCTGAGCCTCTCTCCCCTGTTGGACAGTCCGGGGCCCCACGGAGCTCACGGGGCCCTTCCCCTAAGACCGCTGGTCATGGGTTCTCGCGGCTGGCAGTGATGGGGCCCTTTCCGTGTGCCCTGATGTGTGCGCTGTCGGCTTGACGCTGGAATACCATCCCCAGTTCACTGATGAGGCCCCTGTGGTTCAGAGAGACAGGAGACCTGCCCAGGGACAGCCAGGGAGGCTGTGGCACAGCTGGGAGTGACACGCTCGGCCAGTCTGACCCTGGAGCCGACCCCATGCCCACTCCCCCGTCCCCCAAGCGTGCTGAGCCAGGCCTTGCTGCAGCGACTGCTCTGCGCCTGGGGAGAGCCGCCCCCGAGGACGGGCCCGGGTGGCCTCGCTTTACCTTGTTTCCTCTCCCGGCCCCCCTCACTCACAGGTCTCCCCGCCTTACCCCTCGCCCTGCCCCAGGCGCCTCTGAACTCAGCCTCTGCCTGTTCTGAAGCGCTGCACTTCGAGGCCTGCCATTTTCTCCACCTGGAAGGCCGCCCCCTGCTCGCCTGCCCAGCAAACCCCTGCAGGTGTCCCCGCAAGCCTCAGCCCCGGGGCTGCCCCCAGGAACCCTTCCTCCCTTCCCTGAACCGCCACCTGTGTCCTGGACAGTCTGGATGACTGTGGCATTGTCGTGGCCTATGTGGCTGAGTCCCCTGTGGTAGACACCTAGCACACAAAGGAGAGAGCTCATTTCTGGACTGGGATGGGAAGGGTGTGCACCGCCAAGGGGAGTGGAATCTAAGCCTCCTGGGAGGACTCATGGTATCCACCTCTCGTTTCTCAGATGTGAAGGGGCAAAGTTCACAGTGACTTCATGCCCCAAGTAGAGTAAGGACCCAGGGGTTGGCCCCGTGAACCTGGGACATCGGCCCCAGAGCACTTGTGTATCCAGCAGGAAACCCGCTCATCTGCACTTCACAGCTGTGACAACCTGTTACATTTAATCACTAATTGAAACCTCCCAGATTTCTGTTATTGTTCAACTAAAGCTCAGGGTATTCAGAGCTGGACCGTGTTCCGTGAGGTTGTTTTGAAAGTGTCAGGGAGGCTCTGGCGGAGACGCTTGATCCCGGACAAGCTGTTGTCATTTCTGAGCCACAGTGTCTGTCTTTGAGATGGGAGAAAGCGCCCGCCACCCCCACGCGGGGACCTTCGGTTGGCTGTCACGATGAAAGGCACCTTGTAGGTCCGGACCTGACTTGAATCTCGTCTGCTGGGGCCTCTGCAGCAGAAGCGTCTTTGAGCGCTTCTTCCGTGCCAGGAGGGGGCCGGCGCGCTCCCTGCCTGATGGGGGGGCACGTCTGAGCCTGGGAGAGAGGCCAGGTGCACAGGTGACTTAGCCGGAGTAAAAGCCCTGCTGGGAGCCGCCGCGTCTGTGGCCACTGCCAGCGGGAACTCGGTGTTTTGTCCACAGGAAGCGGAGAGTGATTCCAGGTCGAGATGAACTGAGCTGGCTGGCAAGGTTGCTCCCACGGGCCCGGAATCTGAGCTGGGAAGCCTGAGGGGGTCAGTGCCCAGGTGTGTGAGGCAGACATCGGGACAAAGACGGGTAGAGTCGGACCTTCTGCCGGGGCCCGGGCCTTCTCCCAGGCCCTGGGTGGCAGCCCAAGCGTGCTGTGTGGCCGGCTCCCTTTCCACGGGGGCAGCGCGCCACCGACCTTCGGTGAGGCCGCGGGGATCTGACCTGGCCCCCGAATCCGGTGTGAGTCGCGGAAAGGCGCTCTGAGCGGAGGGCTCTGCCCCACGCTGGTGCGTTTGGGCCCTGCCTAGGGTGAGCATTTCTGGCCATCACTTCCTGTTAAGTGGCTGGGGGAATTCTCTGTCTGTTATGCTGTGGAGCAAAAGACGTGTTTTATGTTCACTATTTCCTTTCATCCTTAAAATAATGTCATGTAGGTACCATTACACTCTTCTCTTTGTCCGGATAGGGACGCGCAGTGTGGGGCTGAAGGAACACGCCCCCGGCCTTGTGGCCTGCAAGTGCCAGAGCCTGCGTGAGCGCCAGCTCTCAGCAGGGGTGAGGCGCGCCCTCCCCGTCCTGGGGGGCTGGCAGCCGGGCCGTGGGGGCGTGCACCGCCCCCTGGCGCAGAGTGGGACTGGGCGAGGGCCCGAGGTGGGTGTAGGAGCGTGTGCCCCCAAGGCTGCGGGGCTGGGGCAGTTGCGCAGTGCATGGCCTCGGAGAGGGGCCGAGGCGGGACAGCAGCGCCTGGATGGCGGAATGAGGCTCATGGGCTTGCAGGGCGTGTGGCGCCCTGAATGCTCCGCTCAGAGCTCGCGCTGCCTCGGCCTGACCCTCCGGAGGCTTTCGGGAGCTGGACTTGCGGGGTAGCCTGTACCAGAGAGGCCACGCACAGAGGATGCTGCCCGCCTGCTGTGGGCCGGCTGCCGCGTGCCTGCGGCCGGGCTCCCGTCTGGGTAGGTCCTGTTATTGCCCATTTTGCAGGTGAGGAAACCAGGCTTCAGAGAGGAAGGCGACTCGCCCAAGGTCAGGCAGCTGGAAGGTGGCAGAGCGGGGCCGGGGCCGGAGGGTTCCAGCCGAGGCCTGTGAGGTCTGAATAACCGTTTTGCAAAGAGGTCATGCCAGAGGGCGTGAAGCGGGGAGCCGCCTTCCCGCGAGCCCCTCCTGAGTGCTGCCCACCTGTGTGTGCCGGGCACCTGCCGCCGCCCTGTGAACGGGGGAAGGGCCACGCGCGCTCAGCCTGGACCCTGCTGTGCTCAGTGCCGCGTGGCTGGTGGTCAGCGGCGGGGTGCGGGGTTTGGTGGGACCTGTGGCTGGAAGGGAAGACTGGGGGCCTCTGTGTCCCGTCTGTAAAGTGGACACAGCGCAGTCTGCAGGGTCATGGGATTGGGTGGGAAGGGCAGGCACAGCCCACGGCAGCGTGAGGGGTCAGCGAGGTGCGGAGGGGCAGGGTGACCCTCTTGCTGTTTATGAAGGGTGCGGAGCACAAAGCGCCGCCCGCGCTGCCCCTGGAGTTAGTGTTGGATTTGCCCTCGGGGCCCAGACTGCCCCGCAGGCACTGAGGACCATTCCGGGTTCCCGGGGCGGGGGGTGGGGGTGGGGAGGAAGTGTGACTGTGCCTCTTTCTCAGTTCCTGGGCCTATTTTTAAGGCCCGTGGCTTCCAGTCTCTGCAAGTGTGGCTCTGTCCCTGGGCAGGGACTCGGCGTCTTTTCAGAGAAACCTGACAGCGTTAGACCCCCCACGTTAGAGAGACTGAGGGTCACGGCAGCAGGGGGATGGGCCGTGTTGGCACCCCCCACCCCCCAGGCTGGCTGTGGCCTCCTTCCCCGAGCGGGGCAAGCTCAGCAGAGCCAGCCAAGCCATGAGCCTCTTGCTAAAAAACAGCCTCAAAATCCACAAACTGATTCGTTCCTATTAATAAATATTACATGCACATACTACT